GGTACCGAATTCAGTACAAAAGTACCAAGACGGCAGCACTGATCCGCCATCCTTCTCTGGTATAATCCATTCCTCCCCCTCCGTAACGTTAATCGTAACTTAAGTAGGGGACGTACCTGGGATTATCTGGGTATATTCCAAACAAGTGGATATCGTTTGTTTTTTATTATTTTTTTTTTTATTTCTTAAGTAATCTACAGAACAGGCAGTTCCAATAATCGATTACAATATCAAAACTAAGTAAATCACCATTCTCAAAATAATACGATGCCCTAAACTGAATTAACTCCAAATTACCTGAATCACAATCAAATTGAGAGACACATTTAGTTGAAATTGACAAATGGACTTTTTTCATTTAAATTGGCTGTCAGTTACAATTCTCATTTACTTTTAAAGATGTTATCTCAATTTCAATTTTTTTTTCTGAATGTTTTTTCATTGCATTTCACATAGAAATCTATATTGTATAGTGGGGAATTTAAACCTAGGTTGGTTCGAGGTTTACGCAGAACAAATATATATCTTCTTCTATTATTGAAATATGTACTGCAGTTTAGGCAAATTTGTGTCAACAATTGTGGATTATCTACTTCATTATGCAGTAGCTTGAAGAAAAATACTATAGTAGCAACTTTTCTTCTAAATTCTAAAGTTGTGAATTTAAATTCATTCAAGGAAGTATAATAACTGAGATTGAAAATATATTCACCATGCTTTTTGTAATACAGAATTCTTAAGAATTTTTTCTGTACCTTTTCAATTTCATTTTTATGAACCGAATAATAGGGAGACCATATTATGGCACCATATTCCAGAATACTACGTACAAATGCATTATAGAGTGTCACTAACGTGGATATTTTTGTGAATTTAAATGAGTTCCTAATAATGAATCCAAGCATTCTATATGCTCTATTCACAATGTTGGTCACATGTTGCTCAAAGTTGAGTTTTTCATCCAGCGTAATTCCCAAATCCTTACATTCACTCTTCTTGGTTAAATATTTATTATTTATCTTATATTGAAAGTCATTTCGTTTTTTTTTTCTAGTAATTGTCATACTGAAGCATTTGTCAACATTAAATGAGAGGCGATTTGCCAGGGACCACTCGTAAACTCTATCTACATCATTTTGTAGCAGAATCCCATCTTCTTGACTCTTGATTTCCTTGAATAATTTAAAATCATCCGCGAATAATGCACATTGCGAGTCCTGAACTACCTGTGGCAGATCATCTATGAGTAATAAAAAGAATAAGGGTCCTAGATTGGACCCTTGGGGTACACCAGATCTTGTGAAAAAATCCCCTGACTCCCCTCCTTTATAAACTACATACTGCTTCCTGTTATATAAGATACGATGCTGACAGCTTCAATAGTCGATATGAAAGCCCAAAAGTGTATAGTTTTTTTAACATAACCTCGTGATCAACCTTGTCAAAGGCTTTGCTAAAATCTGTGAAAATAACATCTAGTTGGTTATTATTTTCGACAGTTCGATTTGCCTCTTGTACAAAACATGTTAGGTTAGTTATCGTGGACCTCTTAGGTAAGAAACCATGTTGCTTTTCACTTAGACATGGATAAACGTGATTTAAAATTTTTTCATGAATGATCGATTCGAAGATCTTACTGTGGGCGACAAATCAGTGCTACTGGTCGATAGTTTTGTATGTCCTCCCTTATGCCATTTTTAAATATTGGGCAGACTTTTGAGCATTTCCATAGTGTAGGGTAAGTATTAGTTTGTAAAATTAAATTATATATTATTTTGAGGGGCTTGATCAAGAGTTGTATGCATCCTTTGACTAAATAAGGGGGTATCATATCTGGACCACAAGATTTTTTTGGCTTCAGTTTTTTTGCGGCTCTTAGGATATCTTCATCATTTATAGAATCAATATCTGAAATGGAGTTCGTTAAAAAAAAAAAAAAAAACGTATATGTTGTTTCTAACCATCGTTTTGTGGCGGATTTCGCCTTCCGAAAATGTCTCGACTTTATTTCGTGTTTAAAACGAGACAAACAATCACTTATTGTAAGCTCAAAAAGAAGATAAACGAGTTACGAAGCACCAACATTGTTTGCCGTTTGTCTTGTGGTGGTGGACCATTGTAGATATCTCAACTCCTAGAAATTGGGGCACATAATTTATCGTTTGCCGGACACCATTCTCAACGGATCGAAATGTCCTTTTCGGCGGCCCTTTTTGCAAAACAAAATTTCCCGGGGCTATTCATTTCAACACCTGCCAAATAAATTGGCCGGACTTTTTTTTATAGGGAAACTTCTCTCTCTCTGAGAACGTAAAGTACGTGCTGTCCGAGTGTGTTTTTTTCGTGAACGTGTCCGATATTTATATGCAGCACTAGAGTGCATTTCATAAATTCGTTTTCGACGTTTGTCTTTCGGTCGCTGACAGTTTTATCTCGTTCGGTGAAGGTTTTTTTCTGGATTGAAGATGAATGGAAGAGTTAACTTGCGCGAGTCACTGTTCATTTAATTTACCCGTTGATCGGATTATTCGTTGTTCGCCTTCCCTAAAAGTCAGCAGATTCGAGTTTATTCCATAAACCTAAGAAACAGATATGTTTTTGGCAACTTCACGGAAGATTTCACCATTTTCCTTCGAAATGAAGCACTTTTCTGGCCCAGTCCAGGAAATATTTCCTTTTATTAATACTGAATAGTACACAAAGTCATCTCCACGACAATTCATTGAGAAAACCCACATACCTAATAAGAAATTACATAGTCCTACAATGAGAAGAAAAAGTTGATCAAGTAACCAGAGGAATTCTTACCATAGATAGCTCACATAAAGGTGAAAAATGCTTTTTATCTAATAACTGTAGAGAATTAAAGTAACATAGAAGTTGAATGGTTAATTGTTTTCCTAGGGGGATAACCATGAAAAACCCCCATAGATGGACATTATGGTGGATAGTAAAAAACTGAAGAACACCCTAACTTTTTCGGCACTTCCATGAGCAAGTTGAAGGAACACCAATGAATGACTTCCATCTTGTTTAACAAAACACAAGTGGAGGCAGGAAATCAACGTCACCGAGGCTCAGCTATGCCATCTTTTATCGAGTTTTCTTTCAGGCAGATCGCTTCACGTGGTGGTGGACGGTGTATCGTCTGATACCATTGGCATCAATTCCGGCGTTCCACAAGGATGAATTTTGGCACCAATATTATTCCTTCTTCATATCAATGATCTGTTGGGAGTGACAACTTGCCCCATCCACAGCTTTGCAGATGATAGTACCCTCCATACTGCGTTATCTTCCAGAATTCCCATTTCTTCCCAGGAAACTGAGAACTCATGGCGCAGCCAGGTCAATGCTGTCAATGAAGATCTTGCTGAAATCACAGCCTGGGGAACCAACAATCTAGTTCAATTCAACGCCACCAAAACTCAAGCCTGTATTTTCTCTAGAAAGGCGGAACTCAGTATGCCCGATATTGTAATGTTTGGCACCACCATCCCCACCAAGCCCACCATATCTATGCTCGGTATTTCCATCAGCAACACTCTTTCATGGGATAATCATGTCAGATCCATCGCAAAAGCTGCTGCACAAAAACTCGGATTCATGTTCCGTGCGAAATGCTACTTTACACCTCAACAGCTTCTCATGATCTACAAAGCGCAGATACGGCCTGTTCTAGGTTCAGCACCAAAACATACGCTGATGCTCTTAGATTCCATCCAGAGAAGAGCGATTCGCCTGGTGGGTGACGCCACACTCACTCACTCTTTGACATCATTGGAACACCGTAGGAAGGTCGGCGACCTTTCACTTTTCTATCGATACATCCACGGGAAATGTTCTTCGGAAATCTCTGCTATCATCCCTTCACTAGCAATACCAATCAGACGAACTAGACAAGCCCGGTCAGCACATCCTTTCGTTGTCAACCTCGAAAGATGTCGAACAGCACTTTATCAAGACTCCTTCATCCATAGAACGGCTAGGCTCTGGAATTCATTGCCTGTGGAAGTATTCCCAATAACATATAATCTCCAGAAGTTCAAGAAAAATTCCAATACCTACCTCCTGTTCCTATCTTCCCAAGGAACGCACGATGTTCTTTGAACATTATAGGGATTCCCCTTTCGTGCGCTCCAAGCGATAAAAAAATAAACTAAACTACAAATGTCAATTTAGTGACAAATGAAATCCGACAAACAAAGCTGTACGCTGTACTGGCTGTAAGTAATAGTAATCTCCAACCTACAATTGTGGAATGTTTACGTAGATAAAAAGAGGAGAGAATTATAAAAACACTGGAATGTAGAATTATGTGAACAACTGGAATAAATCATATGGATTATGTCGAGGACCAAGGGAGGTGTATCATTTACAATACTTGAGTGAATTGAAGAACTATTATATAGCTATTATAATGAATCTGTTCATCTAGAGAAAGGACATTATTGTTCTGTAAAGAAACATTCATTTCAAAAATTTCAAGGAGATTCAACAAGGCTCCTTTTTGACGAAGATGTAGTACTGTCAAATCATTGTACATGTTGAAAGAATGTTTAGAATTTGTTACATGGTTGGTGAAAGAACTTTTTTGTATTATAAACTTCTAAATGCGGGTTTCTAGATTTTCAATAAGTTTTACATGTTCTGTGACCCTCGTGAGAATCCTCCTACCACTCTGATCTATATATTGAGCATTACAGTTTTGATCTGAGCAAGACATGTTGTAAATACCTGATTTGTGTAAAAGTGGTATTTTATATTTGTTATTTACTAGAGAACGTGAAACGGTGTCAGTCGTATAAAATTAAATGTTTATATCATCACTGAACCGGTAAAATATATTTTCAATATCATATGAAACTTTTCCTTAAAATGAGATTTTCTAACCGCACGAAAGTTCCATACCCATCAGGATTGGAGTTGTTTCTCCACGCATTCACCGGTTGCGACACTACCTCACTACTTCTTCTCTTTTCTGGCAAGGGAAGAACAAAATGCTGAGTGCCTTCGAGAAAGATATTGCCCTGATGAACAAAGCCACCACATTCCTCAAGCCTGATGCCACTTACAAAGAGGTTGCCCTAGCCATCGAACTGGAGCATTCCAACGATAAGGCCGATATCGATTACCCGGCTCCCATCGATTGCCCTCCTCGATCAAGCAGTGAAGAACCTGGTCCCTCCAAGAAAATACGTTAATCCTGCCTACCTTCCCATCGAACATTCACATGATTCAAATGTATTAATAATAATTATCACTCAACAATATATTGGGTATCGATGTACATTGGTTGTTTTATTTCGCTTCTTTAAAATATGTTGGTACAGCAAATTTAATCGTCAAGCTCCATTTCTAAAAAAATACAATTTTCAACTGAAGTGTTTTTTAAGGATAACAATATTGCTGATTTTGGGTTCAAATTGAAGCTATATAAATACACTACAACTTGAATTATTATAACTTTTCTCGTAGGATGAGTATTAGAGCCGATATTTTGCTCAGAAGAGGGCCAAAACTACAATTTTAATATTTTTGAAAACAAAGCCAATTTTTGAGGTCCTGTATCTCGGGATGTATCTGACCTCGAGATATGAAATTAGACTCAAAATGTAGGGAATCAATCTAGCTTCAAAAAATGTATTCGTGACTTTTTCTTTAGGAAGCCATCTTAAAGTTTTTTTACGCTAAAAACCGAATAATTCCGGGGGTTTTCGAGCACCACACTTTTAGCGCGTTTTTCGGAGCTGCAAACTTGGTTTTATTCTATTGAGAAATAGCCTAAAATCATGCAAAAAAAAAATTCAATGTGCAAATTTATGCGAACTAGGGTGTATAAAATCAGCGGTCTATTAGCGCTATAGATTAGATTTGGAATGGGGCCTTCGGGCTATCTGCCTCCACACTGCGACCTTTTCAGATCTATTGTGCCTGCCCTCAAAATGGATTAGAGTTCTTCGGCTAGCCCCGCCTTCTCTATGAGACTCCATAGGCTAGCTTTCAGATCTCCTGTGTATCTCTGGGCTCCTGGTTTTTCCTCACCCAGCGTAAGGAACCTTAGTCTTGACAAGCCCTCACCACAGATTAACAAACCTTTGTCAGTCAGACCTATCGTACTCATGTGTTTGTTGAGCCTACAATGCCCTGTGAGAAGTCCCACTAGTATTCTAGTTGAACTTCGTTTCTGGCTTAATAGATATTCTGTGAATGTTGGTGATGGTTTTTTAATAAACTCTTTCGCCTGTCTCATTCCTGGCGAGTTGTTCCACCATTCTTGAGATTTAGTTTGCATCCATGATTTGATACTAGTCTTTTGTATAGCTTTCGCAATACCACAGAAGGGTTCTGGGCTATACCGGAAGAAACTAATATCTGAGGTGTTTTTGTTTTTAATATTTACATAGTATTTTTTTCTGTGCACAGACTCAAAATACGAATCCTTGAGTGAGTAAGACGATGCCGGAATCATCACTATTTTGAAAAGCTTTTGCTCCCAGGAATTCCACATTTATGTGATATTTCCTATATGTTAAATAACCTAGATATCTGCTGGCCTAGAAGCTCTGGGACACCCTTAACTACTTGTTGTGCAACTAGCTACTTTGCGCGATCCTAACACGTTAATAATCATTATTTCCACTATGTATGACTTCCATTACAGGGGTGCTTACAAGCCTTTCGGGGTATAAGTCGTTTACGAATTCGTATTTCACGAAACGTGGCGACAAGAGGAGAACAGGAAAGGGAAAATAGGTATTATGACTCAAAACTTTGCCAGTTTGGTTCCCTTTTCCATTAGAAAATGTGAAAAGTTCCAGGCACGTCAGGCAGTGCATGAATTCATACAAAGCGGAATTGGGGTATACATTATATATATAGAACCTAATACGTCTTCGTGGATAAGTTCCGAGAGAGTAATCTTGCGAACAGAGCAGAATGTGAAAACCGAGATGAAACCTGATGTCATCATAACGTACACAGAAAGAAAAGATTTGATGTTATTGCGACAGTAGTGGTTCTTTTAGTAAAACTCGCTATCGCTCGGTCTATTATCTACACGCTGCTGTCCATAAAAGCCTATTCACTCTTGATACATAAATAACTATTATTATACTCTGATGGAGTGTGGAATGGTTTCGAAAATATCGAAGTGCCTGAGACTGATTCCAGTTGAATTTTACCGGTTCGAGAGCTCGAAATCCGAAAACCTGAGAGAGCTGAGTATAATTCATTGATTCCTGTCCAATAAACATCATTTCAACCCTAAAGACTCATTATTCTCCAACTCTTTGCTTATGATATCAAATTTGGATGAATTATTCATCTGTTAAAATGATGGATGTTTACCTGATGGTCATAACTTCCAGTCAGATTCATCCAGTAGCATAAGCAAGGGTAGTAGATCCAGTTCCTGTGCTCATCCCGGGTTGAATATATTTTTTTTCCATTTTTGTCAGTTTGAAAATGTGCTTCTGCATGCTAGTTCCTGCAGGCATAGTTGATTCCGACCAATCAGAATCTAGGATTGAGCTGTCCTTGTACCAAGGCTGATGGAGAGTATAAATACGGAAGACAGCTTCTCTCCTGGTTCTCTTGCTGATCTCTTAGTGCTCTTATATTTCATTCAGATTCAGTGTAAAGTATTAATGTATAGTGATTTTGTGTTTTTTTTTTGACCACTATCATTCATCCTGTATAGATTCATTTCATTCCTGTTGTTTTTCATACCCGACCTGTGTTACGAATCCAGAAATTTGTATTTTCGAATAAACGTTTTTTTGTGAGTGCATATTTCATATTTCTTTCTCTGTTGTCATTGTTTTCAGTTTCGAATAGTTCCAATAGTATATTTAATGATTTGCAATATTTTCATTTGTCGAATTGCTTTATCATTGGCTTACGGCTGACACTGGCATTGCCAGTTGTCAATTCTTCTTCTTTTTCTTGAGCATTCCTGTCCTGTGCACCGGTGTCTCGATGCCTTGGTTCCTGTCAGGCTGTGGTCTGTAGTTCATGTAATTTTGACATTCATAGAAAAACATAATTAACCTCACGAAAATTCTTGTTTCGGAAATTAGAAAATTGAAGAAAAAAGAGAGATAAATACGAATTGAACCTGTTCAGTTCGTTTGCAACTGAATTTCCGATTCTCCAGGTAGACTCAATGAAATAGCTTGAATACATAATTCTCCAGGCCTAACCTGAAAATACCAGAGACTTGTTTTCGACAAAGATATTTGCTTTGATTCCTGTAATTATCCAGCATGAAGATAGCAACCAGTATTCCAGGCTAAACCCAGGGTTTGTAATCAAAGCCTACATTTCCGTGGCTTCCTGATTCCAAGGCGATTAAATAACATTGACCAGTGGTTTATACTCTAGGTACCCAGGCTAGGTATACCACATGTACCTGTCGCCACTGTTGTTACCTAGGCCTTCTGATGAACTTAATTTATAGAAGCAGGTGGAGTAAACCACCTCATGATCAATCTGGCGCCCGAGATACCCCGACAACTAACAGAGTAGTCTTTGTCCTAACAAGCTCCACAGTAAGGGCCACAGAAATGAAGGGCATTACAATACAAAAAACCGTGAGATGGAATCTGATATTTTTCTTCCGAATAATACACTATTTTTCTGTGATAGGAAGAAGGTCGAATCCATATTGAGAAGATAATACATTATATCAAAATCAGACAATTGTCGACGTGAAATTTGTAGTTGTTCAACAGGAATGACACCTGCATTGCAGGCATCTTCATAATTCTTTTGAAGTAATCAAATATCTGTCAGTCTGATTCTGTGATTTGATCTTCGAAAATTGCGAATTTAGTGGTTGTTTAGTAAGTTACGTAACCGTGAAGTATAATGGAAGATGAAAGGACTTGCAGTTTTTTCTCGGAGACGGTATTATTGGCTTATTTTCCGGAACAACAGCAGAACAAAAGTCATAAACAGTTTATAGTATATATGTGATATATATACGGAAAGAAGTACTCATGTTTTTTACGTGGGAACAAAATAATTTATGGGAAATGACATTTTATGACCTGTCAACAGATATTATATTCCAAACTTCTTTCACGTCACAGAAAAATGAAATTCAAAATAAAATATCTATTTAGCACGGAATACAAATACATTCCACAATGATTCACTTGGAATTGACAAAATAATATATACAGATGAATAATAACATAATCAAGTTCCTTCAGCTAACTATGAAATAGTTTGGATAAGCTTTATCATGGACATTAAGACCAGAAATTCGCATTTCGAAAATCTTTTCTGAAAGAAGCTCATTCTAGAGACCAGAACCGGTGTGAATCAAGTAATTATCTAACCTGATTGAAACGAGCACACTCACACTGAACCAACGAAAATAGTTCAGATAACAGTCACCTCTATTGAAAAAAATGGGCATTGCGCCAAAGTTCACGATGAATACAGTTTGTCGTGTTACAATGGTTGCATCCTAAAAATATTCGAAAGGTAAAGTTTATGACTCAACAGGGATATATTTGGTCTGGTGTACGGGAATACATAAGTTATGTAGACTCGGCTACATTTTGTTCGGGAGAATATAAGCCACAACGAAAGATGCATTATTTGTTTTATACATTACCTACGGTTGTATTATTTTTGAAGAATAATTTCCCCACAACCAGTTCTCGAATAGATAGAATCACCTCATGATGTTATTTTTTCTTCGGCTATAACACAAAATTGCTCTTGTTTTACTGTGTTCGATACGTCAATGAGGTACTTTGTAACTCATCAATATTATTTCCGTATCTGATATCACAACACTGAGGAAAATTCCTATTGACCATAGTCAGAAATCGAATTACCCCAGCAAGAAACTCTAATAGCATAGGGACCAAGCGAGTTATCACCTGTGATTATAAAGTCGACTTTGCTGATTATAACCCACCTGCGATTATAAGATATAGAACCTTGCTGCCACTAGCGAGTGCATCTGTATATTGCTTTTAGACGATGTTCCTGTAGTATGTATCTGACTTTGCTACCGCTAGTGAGTACATCTAATAATGGGAGTAGGGCAATGTTATAATCG